CCCCAAAACCCCAAAACCCCAAAACCCCAAAACCCCAAAACCCCAAAACCCCAAAACCCCGAAATATCTCAAGTCAATTGAAATTTAAATAAATCTCATATATTAAATGGGAACCACTAGAGAGGAAACTAAAGAGAAAAAGGAAATTTTTAGATTTGAAGATCACAAGCAAGATCAGTCTACCTACATTGGTAGATTTAGACACTTCTTTGATGTGATTAATCCCATCAGGTTCTTTGTCACTTCAGCCCAAATTAGAGAAGCCCAGCAAAAGATTTCGCTTAAGGAAGAAGTTGCCAAAAACCTTGGGTTTGATATCTACGCTACAAAGTCTGAAGCTAATGAACTTCTGGAGTATAAGAAGATAGTGGATTCTGCTATCCATCCTGACACTGGAGAAATCATTCCCTTCTATTGCAGAATGTCAGGATTTGTGTATTTTAATTGCCCAATTCTATTCGGAACTCTCATGTGTCCTCAGACTCCTGCGAATATTATATTCTTCCAGTGGATAAACCAGTCGTATAATGCAGGGCTGAACTATGGAAATAGGAATGCTTCATCTCCATATACAAAGAAAGGTAGGATAATTATGATAATTTCTAGACATTATTAGGGGATATTCAGGAGCTGTTGCTACAGCACTAACAATCTCTGTTTCTCTCAACAAGATTTTTAGTGGAGTTACCTCAAAAATGACAGGAACAAAAAGATTTATAGTGAGTACTTCTTTCAATTGGTTCGCAATCAGCTTAGCAAATGCTGCTAACTGTAGTCTCATGAGGTTTAAAGAGATTCAGGAAGGAATCTCTGTTAAGGACGAGTCCGGTTTTGAGTATGGGAAATCTAAAATCGTTGGAAAGACTGCATTGTTCCAGACTATTATAACAAGAGCATTTGTTCCATTTTGAGTAATGGCTGGCCCAGCAACTATCATCTCAGTTATGAGAAACAAGAATAAAATGCCAAAGAATAAGATGCTCTCAATTCTATTTGAAGGATCAATTTGAGCTTTAGCATTAGGATTGAGTCTTCCAGCAGCAATTGCTTTATTCCCACAGGAAGGAAAGATCAAAGCGGAAAATCTTGAGCCAGAATTCCATAATTTGAAAGATTCTCATGGCAAAATAGTTGAAGAGTTTTACTTTAACAAAGGATTGTAACTTTGGTCAACTTTCAATCATAATTTTTAGATATGGGGTTTTGGGGTTTTGGGGTTTTGGGGTTTTGGGGTTTTGGGG